GCTGCGAAATCTGACACTCTGTTCCTCAGCCTCCTCTTGGGCAATCCAGAGTCACCCCAACTGCCATCACATCCTGACCAGGGTGTTGTGAGGACAAGTGAGGCCACGTATGTGAAAGGGCTTTATGAACTCTCCAGCCCTCAGGTGTATGGGCCAGTGCAGTCCAGAGGAGGCAGCCATTCTGGGATTCAAGTCAGGAGCCAAACATTGGGCAAGAGGGACAAAGGAGAAAACTGGCAAATGCAGGGCAGGGAGCTCCCAGAGATCCAGAGACGAAAGTGAGAAGACAGCCCAAAGGACACTTTTCTCCCACCCCAGCTTGCCCCCACCCTTCCCTCACTTGATGCGACCTTCCCTTAGGTTAAGGGACGGGGCTAGGCTGTTTATTCAGCAGAGAATGAAGGAGTAACCTCCACGTCTAGGACAAAGCCATGGACTAGATGAAGGCCATGCTTTCTGGAGACAAGTAAGAGAAACAAAGGCGTTCCAGTAGAAGGCGGGGCATGCGGTGTTCTAGGTAAAAGGAAGAGCCTGGTGTCACAGAGGCCCAGCTGCACTTCCAACTGGATCACTAGCCCACTAACCAACTCTCCTGGGCAAGTTCCTTAATCTCTCTTTCAAGATCTTCAACTAGGGGATAACACCCACCTCAAAGGTTTGTTGGGAGGACCACGTGAGCCAATCCCTGTAAAGTGTTCAGCCTGGTGCCTGACTCTTGGTAAGCGCTCAATAAAGGCTGGCCTCTCTGTTCCTCTTAGCATGTTATTCCAGGGAGCCAGAGGACCCATTCGAACTGGGTGACCCTGGAATGATTCCCCAGGAAGGGAGCAGTGAACTGGGCTTGGAGGCTGAACCCTTGGTTTGGCAGACACAGTTCGGCCAAGGCACCATCTGGACCAGCGGGTCAGTGCCCGCAGCACTGGGGCGCAGCGCTGTGTGTATGTGGCTCCCAGGACTGAAAGGTGAGGGCGGGCAGCGGAAAGCAGCACAAGTTCTGGAGCAGGGGAAGGAGGGATCAAAGCGCTCCGAGGCAGGCTGGGGAGCAACAAAGGGAGGCTAGCGACTTGCATCAGCACAGGTTCCGTGATGCTCGGGAGACGTCTCGGGGCTGCTGGGCTTTACGGGAACCCACAAGAAAGGAAAGGGCCAGGGACCGGGCAGG